ACTCATTGGTACAGGAGAAAACTTCCTGAACAGAACACCAACAGCACAGGCTCTAAGAGCAACAATCAATAAATGGGACCTCATGAAATTGAAAAGCTTCTGTAAAGCAAAGGACACCGTCATCAAAACAAAGCGACTGCCTACAGATTGGGAAAGAATCATCACCAATCCCTTTATCTGACAGAGGACTCATATCCAGTATATATAAAGAACTAAAGAAGCTGAAAAGCAGCAAACCAAGTAATCCACTTAAAAAATGGGGAACAGAGCTAAACAGAGAACTCTCTGTAGAGGAATATTGAACGGCAGAGAAGCACTTAAAGAAATGCTCATCCTCATTAGCCATCAGGGAAATGCAAATCAAAACAACCCTGAGATTTCACCTTATACCCATCAGAATGGCCAAGATCAAAAACTGAAGTGACAACACATGCTGGAGAGGTTGTGGAGAAAGGGGAACCCTTCTCCACTGCTGGTGGGAATGTAAACTTGTACAACCACTCTGGAAATCAGTCTGGCGCTTTCTCAGACAACTAGGAATAGTGCTTCCTGATGATCTAGCCATACCACTCCTAGGCATATATCCAAAAGAGGCTCAAGTACACAAAAAGGACATTTGCTCAACCATGTTTGTAGCAGCTTTATTTGTAATAGCCAGAAGCTGGAAACAGCCCAGATGCCCCTCAACTGAAGAATGGATGCAGAAACTGTGGTACAGCTATACAATGGAATATTACTCAGCAATGAAAAATAAGGAAATCATGAAATTTGCAGGTAAATGGTGGGACCTGGAAAGGATCATTCTGAGTGAGTTGTCCCAGATGCAAGAAGACACACGCGGTATATACTCACTCATATAAACATACAACATAGAATAAACCCACTAAAATCTGTACATCTAAACACACTAAGCAAAAGAGAGGACCCTAACTAAAATGTTCAATCCCCATCCTGAAAAGCAAAGAGGATGGACATCAGAAGAAAAAGAAAACAGGAAACAACCTAGGAACCTGCTACAGAGGGCCTCTGAAAGCCAGAAGAAAACAGGATCAACCTAGGAACCTGCCACAGAGGGACTCTGAAAGCCTCTGCTGTGCAGACTGTCAAAGCAGATGCTGAGCCTGATGGCCAACTGACGGGCAGAGTGAATAGAATTTTATGTAAGAAGTGGGAAATAGTAAGAGCTGGAGAGGACAGAAACTCCACAAGGAGAGCAACAGAACAAGAAAATTTGAACACAGGGAACTTCCCAGAGACTCATACTCCAACCAAGGACTATCCATGGAGATAACTAGAACCCTTGACAATGCAGCCACTTCTGATGAGAACTGATAGACTAAGATCAGAAAAAAGGAGAGGAGGACCTCCCCTATCAGTGGAATTGGGGAGGGGCATGCATGCAGAAAGGGGGTGGAGGGTGGGGCTTATGGGGGGAAACAAAATGAATAAAGTGTAATTAATAAAAGTTAAATAAAAAATTAAAAAACAAACAAAAAACTGGCACTGATTGTAAGGTTTGTGCTATGGAGTAAGGATTTTGCTGAGATAAATCTGGCCATGTGTTTTGAAAACTTTGGAACAAATTTGCAGGAGAAACGTGGAAGAGGTGCCAGTTAAAGAATGCTGTAAGCAGAATTACTGGGCCATTTTTATAGGAGCTCTGGAAAGCAGAACACCAAGAGAGATGCATGAGAGTTCAAAGGGGAAGAAGGGGCCTATCTGGACTGGAACTAGAGGCCACTCATGTTACACTCACCCAAGTCCTGATAATCTGAGTCAGGCTGAATTTAGAATATACTAATTGTTGGAGGAAGTTTCAGGACGGCATAGAATGCAGGCTGTGGATGGCAACTGCCATAGTCAGACTTACTTCACAGCAAGAAAGCAGAAAGGTGATAAGTTTGCAGTTAGGCCAGAAAGAAGCATGGAGTTTAAAGCTGCAGAAAGAGTGGGCATAGGGAAAGTAGTTCTAGTTGTGGGATCAATGACGGTGAAGAGAAGGAAACCTCAGTCTCTGCACCAGACAACAGGAAAGGTACCCCAAAGGTAAATCCCGGAGGGTCTAAGTCCTGGTATATAAGGTAGTGAGTGACCCTCTGGAGGGTTTCCTGCTAGTAAGCAGAGGACCAGGGAAGTGTTTTCCTGGGTCAGTGGAAGCTGCTGCAGCCTTGACTGAGGAGTGCCACGCTACATCTGGAGAGGACAGCGGCACCTGGTGTTTTCTATGTATTGTTAGCTTTTCAGTCGTGCACAGGCAAGTTATGCATCACTCAAGCTTGGACCAAGATTCCAGAAGAGCCACCAAAGGTAGCCCAGATTCCTTGAACAGGGTCCCTGAGTGGGCTGTGCATGAACTGTAAAGGTGACAGTTAAGTTACAGCAGAGACCCCAGGGTACTGCAGATGTCAGAAATTTGGGATGTCTACTGTGGAAAGGCACAGGCACTGGGGAGAAACAGTCTAAGGAAAACCACATGTGCTGCAGGCAACAGAGCTGAAGAAAGGGACTGAGCCTGTTGGTACCAAGTGGATGCCACAATAAGCCCCAGATGCAGGCATGGAATGTGATTCTCATTTCCTCTGCTGGGTTTCTATCTTGCTTTGGTCCAGTCTTTCCTTGTTATCTCTCTAGTCCTCTGCCTTGAGAAGGGAATGGCCACTTGTTTATTCTACAGGAATGAAGAGATACTGGGGCTTTCGTCTTCTGAACTGGATGCATTTTGCATTATGCGATGCCCATAAATCTATAGAGACCAGAGGTGCAATGCTAGTGCGTGAATGTGAAATGTCCCCCATGGCCTCTTATATGTTCAAATATTTAGTCCCTACCCGGTGGTGCTGTTTTTGTGAGATGCAGAAGTTTTGGGAGGTGGAGTCGAGTTGTAGAAAGTATATCTTACCTTCAAGTTTTAAGTTCTCGTCCTGACTTCCCCACAATGAAGGATGATAATACGAAATCCTTAATTGAAATATTTGCTTTCTTTCTTCAATTGCCTTTGTTAAGTGCATTTATCATAGCAACATAACTAAAACTAAAACACACACACAAACCCTCCAAATATCAGTTGATAGTCTTCTAAAGTGGGACCCTTTGTGATAATAAAACTGGCTTTGAAATGTCAGCTCCAATAGTAGGAACTTGAAGAAAGTGAATATAAGACACATATACACATAGAGTGAGAGAGACAAAGAGAGAAAGAGAGACTATAATTCCTAAACTGTACACCCATAAAAAAATGTGGAAACACTTAAAGATATTCAATAAACAAGTGATAACACCCCAAACCCCTGCCTAAGGAAAACAATGCAGTCATCTGGTGTATTCTACATAGAGTCTAGTCATGGAAATGGCTGAAAAAAATGTATAGGGTTGGGGACTTAGTTCAGTGGTAGAGTGCTTGCTTAGCAAGCTTAGCAAGGTCCTCGGTTCGGTCCTCAGCTCTGAAAAGAATAATAATAATAATAATAATACAAAATAGTGAAAAAAATGTATAAACACAAAATGGGACATTATAAGATAATGAAAAATAATGACTCTATTATAACAACAGAGTACTTTATATGAGTTAAATCTGAAAAATTTAGACAGAATTACATCATCTTATTTTGCAAAACCAAGGAGATGCTCTTCTATGTTGACATAGGTCTATATGGAATTGTAATATAAAGGAATGCACACTAGGCCAATAAGAATGTGTCAAGAGACTGAAGAACAGATGAGGGGGTGCTGGTGTAAGAAGCCAGGAGTTTCTACAGCAGCACCATGGCAAAGACCATACTATTTAAGAGTATACATGTCAGAGACAGGCATAGAAAATAGCTAAGTCCTAAGTACCTGGAATGATTCTGTAACTTTCTTCTGAAGCTTTTACTAAAAAATAAATAAATAAATAAATAAAAAATAAAAAAGTTTAATTTTAATTGTTCCCTTAAAGGTTAAAGTAGACTCCTTAAAGGAAGAAAGAGCAGAATGGTCTGGCTTTTATAAAATCAATTCAAAGGCTGTGTCTTACCGATTGCTGCGACGAACACCATGACCAGGGCACCTTGGAGAAGAAAGGGTTTACTTGGCTTCCCTATCCTGTGTCATAGTCCACTCGGAAACCAAGACAGAAGCCCTAACTGAGTAGGAACTTGGAGGGGGAGCAGATGCAGAGGCTGTGGAGAAGTGCTCCTTACTGGTTGCTTCACCCCCATCTCTTGCTCAGCCTGCTTTCTTACAGAGTCCAGGACCCCCATCCCAGGAGTGGCACCACCCACATCAGGGCTGCATACAGCCTGGTCTTCTGAGCCATAGTCTTAATTGAGGTTCCCTCCTCCTAGATGACTCTAGCGTGTGTCAAGTTGACACAAAACTAGCCAGTACACAAAAAACAAAACAAAACAAAACAAAACAAACAAACAAAAAAAAACCAAACCAAAACCATACAGCCAGAAAAGTCTGATATTAGGCCTACCTAGCACTAACACTTAAAAATAACCAACAATTATGTACTTAGTATTCCAACTCACAGAAACCTCTTTTACTACTCTACCACTGCTAAGAGCCAAGAAGAAAGAATATATAAGATTGGGGTCATAGGGCCTTTAGCCTGGTTGTAGTTCTCTTTTCTGACATCTGTGCATAAACACACACACACACACACACACACACACACACACACACACACACACA